TCTATAATTAAAATAATCAGTCAAATTATAAATAATATAAATCTGCTATTAAAAACTAACCTGTAACGTTTACATTTGTTCCTTTTTCCATGATTCATATCTCGTTTACTTTGAAGTCTGTCATATATATAACAAAGTCGATAAATCCGACAAATATCGTTTTTTCCCCATTCAATAGCCATTCCACTTGGATCATAACCGGTCATAAAAGTTCGTACACCTGGATCTAAAGCAATGACTCCCGAACCTCCCTTTTTTTAAAAGTAGTCAATATACATAAATAATCCAAAAAAAAATAAAAAATTAATTCAAACCTTTTCTTGATTTTCTGAAAATAAAGGACCTTGGTTTTCAGCCCGTATTTTAAGTGGCTCAGGTATACAAAGGTAAAATTCACCAAGACGATTTATAACAAGGCGACTATCATATTCAAGTTGCTTTGGAAGAGATTCTGCTGAGTTCATTTTATGAAGAAATGAGAATTCACCACGAGATTTACCCCAATGTTTAGAAAGTATTGCAATTGATTGTTGTGGATCTTTTTTAGAACGGAACTTCATTTTAAAGTTTTTACGATTCGCAGCAAAATTGGACGCATATCCTTTAAGTAAATCATTCATTGCTTCATCTCGTATATCATAAGGTGTTTCTAAAATCCACTCAAGTTTTGTTTTATTCTGGAAATTAACAGCGTTAAGACATCGAGCCCGTAAGTCCTTCTTTTTTCGTTTGACGCCTTCTTTTTCGACCGCGATAAGGCATCGATTGTATGTCCATCAAGCTGTTCCTATTCATTGCCTGAGTTTCAATCGTTCCTCCTGAGTGGGGAAAAGGCGAATGCGTTGTACCTTGCCTGCTGGAAGTTTCATTACTTCCTTCTTGGAACTTTTGAATCGCTTGGGTGGTATCTTTTCTTCTTTTGCGATTGGCAGCAGAGCGTAATCCATTATGTCGCGCCACAAACACTGTGACGATTGAAAGTAAGTCTTCCGCAAGTTCTCCAGTTTCGTTATCATTGGCACAAATGTCTGAACCGAATACCACGAGCCGTGTCACATTTTTTTCAAAGATCCACTCCACAAGTTCGGATCCAAAGCGACACAAACGGTCTTTTCAGGTAACCACCACTTCTTCGACTCCTCCAGAGTATATTCGTTCCAAAAGGGTAAGAAACCCCCTGCGTTTCCAATTGAGTCCTGAACCGATGTCACTAATGATTTCGTATCCTGGGTAATTATGTCAGAGATCCGCGATCTGTCGTTCGAGATCACCTTGCTGGTGCTCTGAACTGACTCTTGCATAACAGACCTTGGCCTTTTGCGTAGATTCTGGCAGCCTTCGGTCATTTCCAAAGGCTTTGTGTATGTCTGTAATTGAATAAAGTCATTTTCCTCCAGGCGTTTTAACGTTGCCACTTTTCCAGAAGCAGCCCATCGTCGCAACGTTTCAACTGAGACATCATATGTCCCCTGAATCTTGCTTGCGCTTAGATAGGTAATTTTGTTCTGAGCCAGCTTGTACTTTTGGTTTTCTGTTGCTAAAGTGTTTTT